GCACCAGGCTAAGACCTTTTTATTTCAACAATATTTTAATAACTTTTAACATTAACTATATAAGTTTTAATCTGCAGCCAGGGTGGATCTGGATTTTATTTGTAGTATGTTTTATTTTATTCTTATGTAAGCTGTCCTGAGGCTATGCAAAAGGACGGCATACAAATACTCTAAATAAGTAAGGTAAATTGCCTGGTTAGGATTGGGTTTGAAAAATGACAGTTCTAATGATTTTTCTTCAGCCTCCAACATTCTTAGGCTGGGCCCAGAAGATGATCTGTGCAGAAAAATTCTGAACCCATGGATTTTTATGAAATCTGGTCCCAGCATGGCCATTTTGGTCAAAAATTAGGGTTGGGGTAAAATTCCACATTAGGGTTATGGAGTGTCAACTGGAGTGATTGCTCTTGTTGGGAAGCAGCGCCAGTCTCATGACAGGATTTGTGGATTTTTCTACACAGCTGACCTTCTGGACCCAGGCTCAGAACATTGGAGGATGGAAAACTTTGCTGGCACCATTGTTTTTCCAACTGTAACCCTTACCCAGAGGTTTTCCCTACCCTAATTTTAGGTCCAAAAGGCCATGCTTGGACCTCATTTCACAAAATGATAGGTGGTGAGGATTTTTCTGCACAGCTCACCTTCTGAGCCCAGGCTAAGAATGTGGGAGGCTGCAAAAGCTTGGTCAGGATCTTCTTTTTTCCAACTGTAACCCTTACCTGTCTTCTAATTCATCTAATCAAAATATGTAAGAATCAGCACATTTCATCTCGGAGGTTGATAATTTCCTAAAATTTGTAGACCAGTGTTATAAATAAATAGGAATGGAACAGAAAATTAGAGGATTTCCCTATTTTGTCTGATCAATGGATTCTTGCTTTAGTGTCTGTATTTGAAGTATCCAATGATACTGAGTTACATTTTACTCAGCCACATCTTTCATAAGGATTTGTTTCAGTTGGCTACCTGCTGTAGGTATAATACCATGGGTCCTGAAACTACGGCCCCCGGGCGGGTCTAGCCCGTCATGTCCTTTCATCCAGCCCACGCCGTCGTCCGCCAGAGGCAGTGATTTGCTTGCTCGGAGGTGGTTTTGGACTCGCTGGGAGATCTCTCAGCAAGTTCAAAACCATCTCCGAGTAAGCAAGTTGCCGCCGCCTGCCTCCCCCGTGCACGCATGCTAGCCAGTGGCTTGCTTGCTCGGAGATGGTTTTGAACTTGCCGGGAGATCTCCGAGCAAGTCACCGCTGCACGCACCCAACACCACCTCATCAGCCCGCACCCCCCAGGCACCCCCCCCGCACTGGCCTGTGCGTGTAGCTGCCGCCTTTCAACTGGTCCCCTATTGAAAAAGTTTGAGGACCCCTGTATAATACATCTTATGAGACTGTTCTTCTGTTGAGCTATTATTTAGGAGCACACGTGACACTCAAAACTACAAATGTGTTCCACCTCTCCCAAAGGTTTGTGGATCCCTGGTATAAAGGATTGCTGTCATTTTCCATAATTATTATGCATTAGCTGTTTTTACCCAGCATTTCTGTAAATGATATAACACTTGCAAGGATCAACAACTTGAGCTCAGAAAAAAAAAACAGAAAAGCACATCTCCTTTAAGGAGTTTTATTTGTGAGTAGAGTTGAACGATACAATGAAAGAAGAGAAAAAAAGGACACTTCCCTTTCCCACCCCTATCTCATCCTGCCCATTGTGTGTTATCACACCATATACAACTAGACTTCATATTGTAATATAAGAATTAAGAACTACAAAATTAGAACTTTAAAATAATTACATATGTGGTCAAAAGATAGAACCCCTACATTTTATAACAGAAACACTGTAGCAAATGGCTTTTGTAATGCAATTTCAATCCTGACAATGAAACACAATTAAGCTTTTAGTGTACACAGGACACATAGTTAGGTAGCAAGCTTCAAGCCATTAGTGCCATGCAGTTCACAGGAAACATTATTGTTCAGGTTTCTCTCTGTCTGTGCAGTGATCAACATTTGTTGCTTGTCAGTTTTCCTGTAATGGTGCTTACTGCCATTAACCCTCATCTTTCTGCAATATTTCCACACCAATATTACAGAAGTTTATCTACCATTCTGAGGTGCTCCAAAGCATCTATTTGGAATGTAACATAGGTGTTAAATTTACAATCAAGCTGCATCCAACCATTGGATTCATTCTCTTTTTCAGCATTTTTTTAAAACACAAATGAGGCATTTAATACTAGCCATTTCACCAAACTTTAAAGAGCATAAACAAAACCAAAATCTCAAAATGGTGTACTCATAAAATTGTTATCTTAGCTCCCCGTGTCCTTAAGTAAATAGATGAAAGTTTGCTTTTATTATAACCAGGAATGCACAGCTCAAGGTTGAGCTGCATTGTTAAATGAGCATATTCAGAGAAGTAGAAGAGGATAGTAAGCTCTGCCAAATCCCAATTATGTTACTTGCTGCTATAATATAGCACACCTTCCCAGGGCTCTTAGAAATGAACCATATGGTGCTGATTTTACTGCTATTAAGAGATTATTGGTCCAGCTACCATGATGGCTGCTTGTTACAACAGTTGCCACATGTGGAAGCAGTACAATATTTGAGCAACTGAATGATGAGGTTGAGAAGTGAATAAATGTAGTAAGCCCCTGTTTGCTATCAGCTTTTATTTTTAATTTATTTTTCAAACTTTTAGGTGAGTTTGAATACATTTCCTTAAGAAAACAAATGAGTAAAATAATTCTGTGGAAAATGTTACATCAAACATATTAGGGAGAAAAAAAAAGGAAAAGAGATTTGCAGGAAACACCATAGGACACTTAATTCTTAGACACTACAAATATGTTTAAGTCTCAGCTATGCTACAATTCAGAATAAGAGGGGAGAAAGACCACTTTTTAAAGCCTCTGTATATCATTATTTCTAAATATGCAGTACTAAAGCAAATAGTCAGTTCAATAATATAACCTCTAAAACATAAATGAGTCATCTCCAAGTTGTCAGTACTTAAAGCCACTTGCAACAACCGCTGACTCTCAGACAAGGGTACATGTTAGAGAGAGCCAGTAGTAACATCCTGTTAAGCAGGACTTTTTGAAAAATGCTTCCCTTCATAAAAAGCAACATGGGCTTTCAAAGTTACACATATCCAGGTAACTTACTTTTGTTTACAAACTTGGAATAAATCGTGGTCAGCGTACATTGCACACACAAGATTAGCACCTTCCACTTCTTCATTTTCCATTATATTCTTAATAAATCAAACTATAGCTTGAGGGTGTTACTTGTTCTGCTCTCTATGTAAAAGAAAAATAAAACACTCAGTAAGATTTGATATATTCTAGTGGTTAATAATGTAAGATTGTAAAATGTAACAGCATTTTTGAAGATCTTTAGGAGTCACTCTTCTTCTTTTTCTTCAGGAAGGAAGGTGTACGAAACTTCTTCTTCTTTTTGGATGGCGACTTCCCAGGAGACTCATCACCACCTAGTTCGGCTGCTGCCCCTTCCTCAGCCGCTGGGGTCACTGTGTCTTCACCTGGCTGGGGCTCTTGGTTTCCAGAAGGACTTTCAGTTTGACTTTGGGTGAGTTGTTTATCATCCCCTTTTCCAGAGGCTGGGAAGTGGAGGGCTTCTGAAGGCTCATCAGGGGTGAGGTCTGGGAGGCTTTGCTTGAAAGTTGCAGCATCACTGTCATCGTAAGTCTGGTTAAACTGCCTCTCTAATAGACCAATCAACAGTAAATGTTAATGTGTGCCTACTGCTTAGAGGGGTTCTAACAGAAATCAGTTCTTTTTGGAAAAACTAAATGCAAGGCAAAGAAATCCCTCTGGATAGAGTGAAGTACATGATGAATCTCCTTGAACTCAAGTTTGACTTTAAGAACATTGTGGAAAAGTCAAAATATAGAGATCTATATCAATAAACTAAGGGCCAAAAGTTGAAAAGTTCATGTACTACAAATTCTTGTTCCCAAATGTATTTGTTTATGTAACAGTAATTACCTTTCTCAAAAAGCATTCCTGGGGCCAAACTTTTATTACTATTCATAAGATACAACGGTTCTGGATTACTTAGCTTATACAAATAGATCATTAAGTGTTTGTGCTGGGTTCCCATAATTTTCTCAAACTACTTTTTAGTCTCCATACCTAGGAAGCAGCACCCATGACTTAATGAGGTTTTAGATTTAACATATTCTTCTAACTGCAAAGCTGTATGCTTATACAGTTTCATCAAACTTTTCTAAAGATTGAAGAGTAGCTTATACTATGACCTTTTTTTGGACCTAGCAATGGAATTCTGGGGATCCGTGCCATGCATGAGTGACTTCTGGCTTTCAGTACCAATCTACAAATGCCAGAGTTGTGGATAGTTACCATGATGTCCAAACCTGGGTACTTGTTGTTTGTGAGCTAAACTATTCCAAGTTAAATAAAAAAACAAGCCAGGGGTTAACTTGGGGTTGTTAATCCATAAACAACCTCAAGTGCTCAGGTTCAGACATGACAGTTAACAATCTCTGAATGCAGGATTCATATGCCATTGCTGAAAACCAGAAGCAGCTTGCATATGCCCACAACTGATCATGTTGATTAACCCACAAATTACTACTGAACACTTACCATAACTTCTGTATAGCCTAACTGTATTCAGTCTGAAAATGTAAGCCATTACCACTTGATCCTTAAAAAAACCCTTAAAGAAGAAGGAACTTTGCAAAGGAAGCCCAAAAATTTTAACTGTAAAAATTTAACTGTAAAATCAATTTACCATGATTCCCACAAGACATCTAACATGCTCTGTGACCAATCTCTTCTTACAGATTGCTGAGAAGAACATCCACATGGACATGGTAGGCATGTCATGAGCGGAGCCAGCTGGAGCTGGGGGCCAGACTAGACAGACTGAGAAACTCCTTCTGACTCACTGTGTTTCTATGGTTGTAAGAATGCAGAAGTTCCAAGTGATGTAGAACTGATCTTGGAGTTTGTTCAAATTTTACTTACAGAGGGAAAGAAGAACCATAAACTATCCCTGCTCCTGCTTCCCTGAGTTCTACTGTACTGTTAATTTGAAGTTTTTTTCTTCTGCAGTGGAGGGCAGAACGTGTTCCAATGGAGCAAAGCTCAGGGAACCAAAATTTAGGGTAGATGCCAGGAAGTGCTTCCTGACGGTTAGGACCCCAAGGGTATGGAATGGGCTTCCACGGGAGAAGGTTGAGGCCCCATCGGTGAGGGTGTTCACGGATAGGCTAGACATGCACATGGTGGGCATGTCATGAGTTGAGCCAGCTGGAGTCAGGGGTCAGACTAGATGGCCCAGGAGGCCCCATCTGACTCACTCTGTTTCTAACTTCTCCTAAAGTTCACAGCTCTAAGCATAAGCAAAACCCAAGTGTCTCAATTCAGGCACTGGAACAGAGGAAGAAAGGAGACAGAGTAGTATAGGTGATTCACACTTCCTTTCCCCCCACATGTTCCTAATGCATGGACTGGCTCTCATCCTGGTAAAAGATACTGACTTTGGCTACTTCATGTCTGCAATCGTTTTTAGTTCCAAGATAAAGAGGGGAAATTTGAGCACAAAACTAGGTTAGAAAAGAGGCCATAGTCATCTAGCACTATTCAGATCTCACAGGGAAGGGGGAGAAGTTTATTTGAGGAGCACCAGTGACATCCCACTGCCCCCTCCCTTTTAGGCAGATAAAGTCAAATGTTTCCTTCACAAAGATATCATGTAGAGAAAAGGAATGGAATTATACCAATACACAGGAATGCACAGAAGACAAAAAGGTGCAGCAGCAGACTTCTTTTGTGTGTGGAAATATAGCCTTCATTGTTTTTCCAGTTTAGGATTTGGAGTTTCAGTTTTAATAATACTGTTCTTTATTAAATTTATATTCCAGATCAGTGACTTTAAGTACATTTTTACTAACTCTGCACTGCACTGAAAGCTTACTGTGTATTCTAAGATAAATGTAGTGTTGTGTTAGATCTTTTGTTTTCATTTATATTAAATAGTTCTTTATGTGGTGAGTCTTTGTTTTTGAAGCTTAGAATCAAAAGCATTTGTTAGCTCAATGATGATAACCACTTCAAACTCAGCAAATCAAAATGTTAGAAGTGTTAAGCTAGGTTAAGATAATGTGAAACCAAGGTAATAAGAGGACAGTATTTGGCAGGTTACAAGCTAAACTTAGTTTTGTTTTTTTTTAAATACAATTCCAATTTCATTTTTCAGTTACAACTTGGGGTGGAGACAGAACTTTCCTATCATAGAAGAGAAAGGCAGGTTGCTTACCTGTAATTGTCATTCTTTAAGTGGTCAGCTGTGCATTCACACATATGGGTTTTGTGCCTCTGCAGAGCCTAGAATTGGGAAAAGCTTCTAAAGCTAAGCATTCAAGTTATGGGTAGGAGGCCCTCCTACTCCTGTTCCAGGAGGCCATGGGAGGGGTTCCAGCCCATTTCCTCAGTTTCTATGGAAATAACCCAAGTGTCTCTGAACTGAGGAGTAGGAGAGGGGTGGCTCCCAACCCTTCTGGCCCCAGAGTGTCCACGCGCAAAGGAAAAAAAAATGTTGCTTAAAAAGGATGATTATCAAGTTGTGTGTTGGAGGTACGCAAAGATGGAAACTTTTGAATAGGCAGATGAAAGGAGGAGATAGCTGCCAGGTAGACATGTATCCCCCTTCATAGATCACTGCCTTGTCGTGATGAAGGGGCTTACGTAGCTCAATGAAGCTATGAGCTATGCCATGCAGGGGCACCCAAGACGGATGACAAAAGCTGATCTACTGGAGAAGGAAACGGCAACCCACTCCAGTACCCTCGCCATGAAAACCCCATGGACTGTTCTAAAGGGCAAAACGATATGACGTCGGAAGATGAGCCCCTCAGGTCGGAAGGTGTCCAATGTGCTATTGGGGAATAGCAGAGGGCTAGTACTAGGAGCGCCAGAAAGAATGAAGTGATTGGGTCAAAGCTGAAAGGACACTCAGTTGTGGATGTGTCTGGTGGTGAAAGCAAAATCCGATGCTGTAAGGAACAACATTTCATAGGAACCTGGAATGTAAGATCTATGAATCAAGGTAAGCTGGACGTGGTCAAACATGAGATGACAAGACTGAACATTGACATCCTGGGAATCAGTGAACTAAAATGGACAGGAATGGGTGAATTTAATTCAGATGACCATCAGGTCTACTACTGCAGGCAAGAATCCCTCAGAAGAAATGGAGTAGCCTTCATAGTCAATAAAAGAGTAGGAAAAGAAATACTGGGATATACTTTCCACAATGACAGAATGATCTCAGTTTGAATCCAAGGCAAACAATTCAACATCACAGTAGTCCATGTCTATGCCCCAACCACTGGTGCTGAAGAGGCTGAATTTGACCGGTTCTATGAAGGCCTACAACACCTTCTAGAATTAACACCAAAAAATGATCTCTGTATCATCATGGGGGATTGGAATGCTAAAGTAGGAAGCCAAAAGATAACTGGAATAACAGGCAAGTATGGCCTTGGAGGGCAAAGGCTGGCAGAATTTTGTCAAGAGAATATGAAAGTCATAGCCAACACTCTTTTCCAACAACCCACAGGTCAAGCCTGTCGGGGGGGGGGGGTGATATTCTGCTGTCGCAGCGGCAGTATTTCTGGAAAGGTCCTGACATCATTGAGGGGATGAGATGGGGGGTTGAAGTGAGGGAGCTGGAGAGGTAGTAGTAATAAAAGTAGAATAAGAATAATATTTTTGTATTTTTTTCTCTCAGGAAAAGAGTGACGAGAAGAAGGGGAAAAAAAGAAATGAGGGGTTATTAAAGGAAAAAGATGGTGTTGCCAATTGCAGCACCCCAAAACACCCCAAAAGTAGTTGGCCAGAGGAAGGCCACATAGTAAAAACACCACAGTTATACTGTCCCACAAGGGAGGGCAGATAAGAACAAAATGAACTTTGTGTAACCCACAGCTAACACGCTAGCCTGATCTCAAATACAGTAATCAAAGGGACAGTGGAAACTGGTTCTAGCCACCATGGAAGTTGCCAATGTGCAGGGAGTAAGAACATAGCAAGCCTGTGTGAATCTCGAGCAGAAAAGAAATAGACATGGGAAATGTCTGGTCCTTGACAGAAAAAAGGACTCTTTCTCCAGCATGGGAGGGGGTGCATACATTGATGTATCAATGTACTAGATGTGTATTACGTGACCTAATTGGTTACCTAGGGTATAAAACGCATGTACTGGGGTGCAACTTTTGAGACACTGCTTTGGGCTGAATGTTCCCTTTTGTCTCCCTTTATTCTATAGTGCACTAGAATAAAGCTGGTTTTGGCTCTAAGTCTTGTCTCAGGCTCTGTTTGGCTTCGGGTCTGGGGTCCACCCGGGGTTTGCCCCAGCTGCTGACTGGCACAGTCCAGTAACAGTGGGACTGAGTGAGAACACACAAGGAGAGAATGCTAGTATTTAGAAGAGAAGGGAACTCCTGTCTACACTCAATGGCAGTTGAAAAGGAACTGAAGGAATGGGTGAGAACACCTCCCACAGCTTCCTGGGAACAGAAGGGGAAGGGGCTCCAGCCCACAACCTGAACATGTAGCTTTACAAATTTTTCCTGATTCTAGGCTCTGAGCAGGTATGAAGCCCATATGTGTGATGCACAGACACCACAAACAAGAACTAAGGTATCAGATTTGCAATATGCACCTGCTTTTTCCCCCCTCTTGTGCCTAATTTTAGACAAACATTTATTCAATATGAAGATGAGGGAAACAAGGGCTAGAGTTCTTCCTCACAACAGGCCACTAAGAACACTTAAAATATTTGGGAGAAGGTAGAGTCCAGTAAAGCCATCACAATTAGGCATATCAGAAAACACCTTCATTTGTTTCCTAAAACATTTTTCTTATCTATGAAAAAGAGAATACAACACTAATTTCTCTTCTTTTACAGGAGACAGTACTTTTTAAGACTTGAAATCAATATCTGAACGGAGAGAAAAAGTTTTCGTTATATGTAAACAAGGCACAGTCAAATTGAATTTAGGGTACTGGCTGTATTCTTGTTAATACAACTCTAACCATTTGTTCTAGTAAACCAGTAGAAAAAACTTAAGCATACTTGAACTGTGTAAATGCCTTACTAAGCAAGCCAACACACAGAGGAAACATCACAGAAATGCAAGAGAATGAAGCGAAGCACAGAGAAGTCAAGGAAACCAGCAGAACAGGATGATACTTACTATGGCAACAGGTACTCTTTAGCATATCCACCTCCTGTTTGTAATGCAGCCACAAGAAGAAAAAAGCACAAGTAGAGAATCTATGCATCCATTAAAGCCTTTATGTTATATTAAAAGAATGGTCAGTACCATTCTTATAGAGTACAGAATGAGGTGGTGTGGACAGACAGGTTTGTAACAGACAAATGATAAATTCTGGGGTAAGAGAAAAATGCAGAAAACATCTAGATTACACCTTCCTGTACACTCAATTGTGTTTACTGGTTCACTGAAAATAGAAATAAAAGATGTTTCCAACTTTCCTCCCATTAATCAGCAACCTCTGAAGAAACATTGTTTTCTTTCATTTTAATTGCAACAAACATATGAGCAGAGGTGTAATCCAATAATGCTTAAGAAATGTGCAAACACCAAGCTATATTTGACTGATCAAAAGCCACTTGGGCAAGCTGAAGTTTCTTGTTCCTTTAAAGGAAATTGTTCTATACATCTCCACCTGATTTTGAAGAATAATGTTTTTACTAAAGAGAATTCTCCTTACTAATGGGTGGGGCTGAATCACTGGACACATAGATCACTGAAGTAACCAATCCTTATCAAGCTCAGTGAATATATACATGCTAAATGAGTTATTTTCACTTCCTCAATTGGGTCACATATCAAAAATACTGCAAAAATATAATTTTAAGAAAGTAATTATTCCCTTGCTCATGTTTTTAGAACTTCATTAATTTCTTCAAGCTGGCTGCCTGGGCAAACTATTGACAAATAAGTTTCAGGATTATGTTAAGTGTAAAATAATGCCCACTGTGACAAAATATTCTACTTTTTCAGTATTTTGATGGCTCTGGTATCTTAGCCAGTAATTTGGTGGCCCAGTCATTATTTCTTTGCAAGCAGCTGCAATATTCAATCCTAGCAAAGGCTTAGGTTTTATGATGGTTTAATCTGATAGCCTAATTGGCCCTTCCCAATTTACTATTCTGATTCCATAAATATACCCAACATCAGCTGATGATGAAATTTTCTGCCAATGAAAGATTTAAGGAAGAGGAGAACAGGTACATCTGAAATGAAAAAAACACTACACATTCTCAGTGTAAAGAAATGATTTCAAAATTGTATAGCTTCATCAATTCACTGTTTCCCCTGTTGTGGGTAGGATGAGGAGATCAACTTTTCTTAACAGAATTATCCTGCTTATTACAGAGTTTGACGGCACTTGCTCTCAAGTATCTGGAAACAGAAAGGAAATAGTTATCTCAAGTTAACTCATCTTGGTCCCATCAGCACCTTCACAAATGCTGCCTACTCTCATACCCATGTTAGTGGGGCAGAAATATGTAGTACACAAAGAGAGTCCTGAGAGACAGCTAAGCACAAAGTAAGTGTGCAGTACTGCACAGAGTCATATTGCTCATGAAACAACCAAAAAAGTTAACCCAATCCTCTTTTGAGAGCTATGACTGGAATGAAGTATGAGATACTTTTTCCATCCTCGCTCACATGGACCAGCAATGTTTACTGCAGGATGTATTAAAAACGAACAATCCAACAGCCATGCATTCAACAAGAAAAATCTTGTTGATCAGTCAGTCAGGGTACCAAATGTGGAAAAAAATCACTTATTACATCCATTCTGTTCTTTCATGTTCACATGAACATTTGCATTGGAGGTGGGGAGGCTGGGGAGATTAGGTTTTCTTGGTTCAGCAGCGCTAGAAGAATACAGGTAGTGGGCAGGAATGTATGCGAGACCTCTACAATGTCTTAATGTCCAAATTAAAAGGGAATAAGGAAGGGCAACAGTTGTGTGAAAAGAAGGAGTGAAAGCACTTGGTTTTGTTGCTTCCATCTTTGGGAACTCAAGAGAGAGAAGTTATCTCCTAATTTGTCTGTGGGAAAAAGAGGGCAATTAAAAACTTAAGAAAAGCTATGTTAGATCAAACCAATGGCCCAATCTAGTCCTGCTTTACGTGCACAGAGTGGCCAAGCACCTGCCCACAGGATCCTTCAAACAGGATATGAGTGCAACAGCTCCATCCTGCCCAGATTCTTCAACATCTGATATATATGGCATTCTGCCTCTTGCACCCGAGCTAGGATATACCTGTCAAGACTACTAGTCACCGATAGTCTTCTTCCCTGATTTTTTCAAATCCTGTTTTAGTATCACCAAATTGGTGACAACACTACTTGTGGCAGTGAGTTCCATAGTTTAACTATGCAGTATGTGAAGAAACACTTCCTTTAACCTGTCCTGAATCTCCCACCAATGAGCTTCATGAGATGACTCCATGTTCTAGTATTATGGGAGAGGAAAAAGTCTCTTCTTCCACTTTCACTACATCATGTATAATTTTGAACACCCGTGCCATATTTCCCCTAAGTCACCTCTTTCTAAGTTAAACTCAGTTTTTCTCTCTCAGTCTAGACTATTTGCAGGATGCATGATCAACACAAGTGGTATTTTGGGTGTACATGTTGTAAGAGAGCAATACCTAGGACAGGAGAGAAGGCGCAATACCTAGGACAGGAGAGGAGACATGGATGTCTGAAATCCACTTGATGTAATTGGCTGTGATTTCCCAAGAAATCTTAGGCTTACACTGGGAAGTACACTGAAAACTCAGTTCAGTGAGCTGGGGCAGTGCAAAAGCGTACAAAGTTGAGAATTATAAGGGAAGGAATTGAAAATGAAATAGCAAATACCAGCCATACCACATGATATTGTTGGTCATGGAATACCATATGCACTTCTGGTCCTAACATCCTAAAAATTAAGTGTTATAGAGCTTCAAGAGGTAAAGAAAAATGCAACCAAAATGAGCTATGGTTTGAAGAAGGGATGTTTACTCTTTTTCAGTATTAGTAAAAGAGTAAAGATTGGAAAACAAAGGGAAAACAGGAGAAAAGTTTCCAAATTTGTAAACAGTGTAGAGCGAGAAAAAAAAAAAAAAGCTTTTACAACTGAAGAATCAGATCATACAATGATACAGGCAGTGTTAAGGGATGAAAAAAGGAAGCACTTCTCATAATGTATGATTTACCTATCAAAATAAGATATGTGCTAGCCAGTAATTTAAAGGCCTTTTAAAAGGATTAACAAATTCATAGGAGATTATTGATGAATTGATTAGTCCTGCAAATTAAATGGATCCTTCAAGTACACAGGCAGTATGCCAATTATCTGGCGCTAGAGAGAAATAAGAGATAACCTTCACTTTTGTAACCTGCTTGTGAGTTTCCAAAGGCAAACTGAATGCTTAATAAAATAGACATTCTTCTCTTCCAGTGAGACAATTATTGTCATAGAAACAAGAACTTGGAATTGGTCATTTTGACTACTGAATACAATCCCCTGCTCAGTGTTGGAATCCACCCAAAAGCAACCCCAACAGATGACTGTCCAGTCTCTGCTTGCACATCTCCAATCACATGAGAGTCCACTACCTCTCTCATCAGTTTTTCCTGATAGTCAGGTGGCTTTCTGTAATTTAAGCCTGTTCATTGTTCTGTCCTACAGTCTTGGATAATAGAAAACAGGATAAGGTCTTCTTTTGTTTGCCAAACCACTAGGTATTTGAAGAATGCTATCTTATCCTCTTCAGTCCCCATGACTAGATCAAATCAAGCCAGAATTTTCCTTGAAAGCAAAAATGCCAAAACTGAGGCTGTCATATTTTGGAAACATGAGCAAGCAAAACTCCCTGGAGAAGACAATCATGCTAGGGAATACTGAATGCAGAAGAATAAAAGGAAGACCAAATAAGAGACAGATTGATTTCATAAAGAAGGCCATAGCCTTGAATCTAGAATAAGTAAGGAGGGCTGTCATGGATGTGATATTTCATTCATAGCCAATGATTTGATGATATACAACAACAAAACATATCCAGTTCTTCAACCTTTTCTCATAGGACTAAGCTTCTAGTTCCCTGATCACCATTATTACCCTCTTTTGAATTTATTCTAATTTATCTGCACAATTCTTAAAATGTTATCTCCAGAAGTGGGCACATTATTTGAGAAGAGGTCTGGCAAGTGCAAAATAGAATAGAACTATTACGTCCCAAGATACTGAAACTGTAGTTGTATTGAGGCAAACCAAAACAGCATTTTTTTCTTTTTTGGAGTCACACAATGTTGCTGACTCATACTCAGATTGTGACAGACTACAAGAACCTTTTCACAGTATATTGTTGCCAGGCTAGGTGTTTGCAATGCACATTTCTTTGTTATTGTGAAGACAACTACAGAGCATTACACACACAGTATTTTTGCCAATGAGTCTATTAAATGAAGCACAAAAACATAGACACCACTATACAAACTCCTTTAGCTCCAAGGAACATACCTTCCTCTAGCTTAACTGGAGTAACAGGTGAAGTACAAGCAACAGTGTGGTCAGGAGAACTTTCTCTTTGCTGTCTGATGTCTTCTGAGTTTTCTACAAAATGTACCCATTTAGAAATATTAGTGAGGCAAATCTTTGCATGTGTTATAAAATGTGTTATGAAAAAGTGTCATCCAATGTGCACGACTAAAAGATACTTTTGTTTAGAAGACAATTTCTAATATTAGTAAAAAAAATCCAAACAAACACCCTACAAGTTTTGGACAAAAATGGAGCCCTCACCATGCCACTACACTCGCTGCCCTGTGTTAAATGGGACAACTCAGGCTGCTGTTTCAATTTGCTGTTTGTGCTGGCTAATGACAACTGGTACAATTCACAGAAAGCACTGTTTGCTCTGGCAAGATAAATGTGAAGGGGTTCTACACTGAGTGATCCTAGTCACCTGGTGCTGATGGGTACTTCTCTTGGTACCCATCAGGGAGGCCACATATTGGCAGACAAGGGGAATGTTTTGTTTGGGTTTGTGTAGCATGTAGTTTGCTTGAGGGAAATAGATAGGTGGTTTGTGTGTGTCTTGTCTCTTTCTGTGTATTTCTCTGAGCACCACCAGATTGTCTTTTGTGAAACTGACAGTTTGTTGGGCTTTGTGTGTTGGACTTGAGCAAGCAGGTGACTTGGTATTTGGCTGACTCCACCTCTATCTTCTACTCAGTTTCTTGGCCAACTATCAACCTTCCCCAGCCACCATTCCTGGTGACCAGCCTTCTCTGCTTGCTGCCTGTCAGAAAAGGGGCACAGTGAGTGGCACACTGGCTATCATTCCCAGGAGTCACTTTCTTCCCCACTCACAACTATCAGTGGCAGCAGGTGCGGAAAAATGGTGCTCCTTGTGCAGCGTGTGGGGCTCAATTCCTGGTGATCAAACTCTGGATATGCTTACCATGAACCTGGACTCTGGGCCACTGCAAAGTGGGCTGGAGCCTGGGAAGCCAAAACTAGAGAATCCAGCATATTTCCTGCACAAAATGGATTCCTTGTACATATTCTAATATCCACTAAGACAGCCATTTTGTGAATGCAAAAAGCCTTCTACAGCAGCCATTATGTGAGAGTGCCCATAACCACTTCGATATTCCAAATATGCTCTCTGACCCAGAAAGGTTTAGGACCTTGAGCTTGTACTTACACAAGAAGATTTGCAACCTCAGTCTCAGTCAACTAGCCAATGAAGCATGACTGGGTTAGGGTCAATAAGCATCTATGCAGCAAACCTGGCAATAGGAATGCATTCATTTCCCCCACAGCACTTCTAAACAGTGTCATACCCTTTCAGAGCGGATGAAAAAACAACAACAAAAACAAACAAACAAACAAACCAAAGCAACAATAACAACAACAAAAGCCAAGGGAGAGGGATACTTTCGTAAGACTAATTCAAATAATTAAGAGATTCGCTGTGGTCTAGTGGTTAATATCTTGGAATTTACAGAAAATAATATTTAAATTCTCATTCTGACATGCACTGAGTAATCTTGGGCTCAGCCACTATCTCATAATTTAACCTACCTCACAGAATTGCAATGTGCCTCCACTGAAAGAGAACTCTAAAGAAAGCCAGGCACATTTAGCTATGCATTTCTACTATCTTGACATCATAGTAAGATAAACCAGAGTTAGCACACACAAACCTTCTGTCTGTCTCTGTTTCCTTTCTATTTCTCTGCGATACTCTTCTAGTTCTCTGTCGGTGAGCTTGTTGAAAGGGTTTGGCCCCGTTGTGCTCACTATGACTCGTGGCTGATATTCCTTCTCAATTATTGCCTTTGATGCTGTCACCAGTTCACCCTAAATGGAAGAAAAGGTATGTTTTTCACCAGTCATCATGCTGAGAATTAACAATGCCTGACGGCTACAACAATGGATAAAGATATTTAAATCTGATGAAAGCTTCTCATTTAGTTTAGAGAAGGTAAGATTACTCACTGAACCACAGTTCTAGCAGCATAGGCATCAGTGATCTGACTTAGGCAACCTTTACTATACAGCATGACTAAATTGCTATGAACTTGTGAATATTTTTCTGGTGAAAGGGTGGTCTATACCTATTGTAAAACCAACAGCTATTCACTTGATGTCCTGTAGGAGCAACTACTTCAGGGAAAGCATCTCACACACATCAGTGTTTTTCTAGGCTGTATACACTCTTAAGCAACACATTAATGTGTGTTTAACAGGCTCACAATTGGTGAAAGCATCCTATGGATGCTGAAGGACTGAATAAATTCATCCCAAGACTTCTACATATCCAGATGAGGAAAAGCCTTTCCTTCCTGTGGAAGGAAGATTCAGAGAAGAAGGACTTTTTTATTTATTTAAAGCATTTTCCCTGTCTTATATCTGAAATGGATCTCTAGATGGCTTACAAAGACCAAAACCATAACAGCACAAGAAAAAACGTTTTTGATATATAAAATATACAACAAAGCAATTCTATATTGTATAATAAAAATCATTCAACCATTAAAATACTGGATGAATAAAAAAGTTTTGGCCTGGCACCAGGTGATGTTGAATAAAAGTTGGTGCCAGGTGCACCTCTCTAGGGAGTATGTTCCATAGCTGGAGTGCTACCACAGAAAAGGTCATTCCTGGGTAGCTGCTCTTCTAACCAATTTCAGAAAGGGTTCCCAGAGAAGGACCTCAGAAATTCAGGCACGCATATATGGAAGGAGATGTCTCTTCTGATATCCAGGCCCTAAACCTTTTAGAGCCTTACATGTCAAAATTAACCCCTTAAATTGGGCCCAGACACCAATCGGTAATCAGTGATGATATAGGACTGGTATTGTGTGGTCTTGTCTGCCAGTTCTAGTAAGCAATCTTGTGGCTCTATTCTGTACCAACTGAAGTATCTGGACCATTTTCAAGGACAGTCCCATATAGAGCTTGTTACAACAGTCCAATCAGGAGGTTACCAGAGCATGTGTTACTGTTGCTTGGCTCTGCCTGTCTAGGTAAGGTCACAGTTGATGAACCAGCTGAAACTACTGGAAAGTGCTCCTCACCACAGCAGTCACCTGAGATTCCAGAGATAACTGGATCCAAAACTACACTCCCAAACTACACACTCTGTCTGTTAGGGGAAGTGCAACACCATCCAGAACAGGGTGAATATTATTCACTGGCACAGACGACCCATCTATCAACAGTACCTCCATCTTATCTGACTTAAGCCTCAATTTATTGGCCTTCATCCAGTCTCCATCCAGGCACTGATTCAGAAACATCACCACCTCACCTGGAGTAGATGAGAAGGAGAGGTAGAGCTGGGTGTTATCAGCATACTGGTGACACCTCAGCCCAAACCTCCAGATGACCTCTCCTGGCAGTTTCATTTTTTACCTTGTGGTACTTCTTGGCATAATAGCCATGGAGCAGAGCCATAATCCCCTAGAACCATCTTTTGGAATTGGCTGGCCAAGTAGGGAGAGAACCACTGCAAAGCAGTGCCTCCAACTCCCAACTCAGCTGGCCTATCTTATAAGGATACCATGGCTGATGGTATCAAAAGCTGCTTAGAGGTACAAAAGAACCAACAGCTAACTGATACTTTTAAGAGGATTCAGTTTGCATTAAACCAAAAGAGCTACTAAATAAAGCCAAGATTGTTACCTCCCTCCCAGGGGCCATGTAGCTGAAGAACAGGCAGAAAATCCACAGGTGATGCATTGATCCTCATATACTAGTTGATGTTTCACCTACTAAATTTCTACCAGTCATGAACCTGGTAAGAGTGCTGGGATAGAAGGAACTCAACAACCAATCTGGTCTATGAGTAGCATATCCTACCATATATGAGATATATGGTGTATAAAATAAAAAAGTAAGTTTTGAAAAGTTGCTGTGAAGAAAACATGTAGCCAATACCAGCTAAATTGCTCGATTACAAAAGAAAATGTGAAAGAATGGCAAAAAATGCTAACAACTTTTATTTGGAATGAACTTAAACTGCAGGTGGATATAAATGATTTAATGAAAAAAGTATAAGGAAGGAGGATCACTAGCCCTGAACATCGAATTACTTTATGTGGCAGTTTTAATGAAAAATATTCATGCACAGTTGCAAGAGTACAATAAAAATATATGGGTTAAGTTATTATAGTACAGCACAGATAGTCCTTTAAAAGTTATTCCCATGCCAAAGGGGAAGCCTACAAAAACAAAGAATGAGAGAGCTTGCTTATTGAAGTGGTCATAACCAGTCAGGATAAATGGAAATGCATACTATATGTATTTCTCCACTGGCTTCATTTATCTATTTTGAAAATTTTAAGTACAGGAGGAGGTTGCAGTTTGGACATATCAGGTTTTCATGATGATGTGAGGAATGATACCTGTGTAACTACGGATGTTAGTAAGACTGAACCAGAAGCAGCGTTAAGACTAAGCCAGATGAAGCTGCAACTGAGAAGTTATACAGTACAGAATCTGAGGAGTAACATAATAACAAGTGAACAGACTAAATCAGAAAAGTAATTAATTTCAGAGAAGAATTCTTTTTTCTTTTTTCTATATTTTGATTTTCTTAAAAAGCAAAACAACTATAATAAATGGAGCAAGCTGAAATAGACCAAGTTGCCAAGGGAATTTGATACAGATCCAACCTGTACAATCAGTCCCTAAAATCTATCCATCAACACTCCATAAAAATATAACACAAAATAAATCTTCGATCTATACAACTTCAGATCCTCTTTAGCTTTCCCTCTCTTTTGTAATCTTATCCTGTCCAAGGATACAGTCATTCTGCAAGCTGATGAGGAATTATTGGTGAAACTATCCCAAATGATCCACTGATAATGTTATTAAGGTATTTTAAAGAGGTAGTTAAAATCAAAGACTGTGAGTGTGGATAGGAGCTAAACTATTGTTAAGCACTGGAAACAATCAGACATAACTTATCCTCACAAAATGGAGACAGAAAACATAGCAGGTAGTCTCAATGTCTAAGCTAACTAAGGTTGAGAGATGTAAAAGGAATATAATTAAATTTTAAGAAAAAATAGTATGTTCTTAATATATAGTTCTTTAAATTATTATTTAAGGATGCAGAACAAAAAGTTATTTTATTTAATTATTTGTGATATTTATATGCCGTCCTATTGCAAAAGCCTCAGGACAGCTTACATAAATAAAATACAAATATCAATATATATAAATTATAACAAAATATCAACATAAAAATCAACATAAACAAATTGACCCACTCTGGCTGCAGTTAAATATATAATATTAAAAATACAATATTAAAGCTTATTAAAATATTGATGAAATGAAAAGGCCTTAACCTGGCACCGAAAAACATATACTGATGGTGCCAGACGGCCCTCTCCGGGGAGTGCATTCCATAAATGGGGCGCCACCGTAGAGAAGGCCCTCTTCCGGGTGCTCTGCCTCCTAATATCTTTCCCAGAGGGTTCCTGGAGGAGGGCTTCTGCTGCCGATCTCAGGGGGTGGGAGGGCAAATAGGGAAGCAGGTGTTCCTTTAGGTATCCAGGTCCCAAGCCATTTAGGGCTTTATAGGTAATAACCAGCTCCTTGAATTGAGCCCGGACTTCGATGGGAAGCCAGCAGAGCTGATAGAGGACTGGGGTTATATGAGAATAATGTCCAGTCCCTGTCAGCATCCTGGCAGCTCTGTTCTGCATCATCTGAAGTATCCGGACTGTCTTCAAGGGCAGCCCCATGTAAAGCACGTTACAGAAATCCAACTGGGAAGTAACCAATGCATGTGTCACTGTTGCTAGGCAATCTTCCCCTAGGTAGGGATGCAGCTCATGGATTAGCCGAAGCTGAAGGAAAGCGCTCCTTGCCACTGCAGTCACTTGAGCTTCCAAGGACAGCTCCAGGTCGAGGAGCACTCCCAAGCTGCGGACCCCGTCCTTTAGAGGGAGTCCAACCCCGTCCAGGACAAGGCCCAAGTCACCTACCCAGGAGCTCGAATCACCCACCAACAGGACCTCTGTCTTGTCTGGATTGAGCTTCAGTTTATTGACCCTCATCCAGCCCATTACCTCGGCCAGGCACCGGTTCAGTACAGCCACTGTCTCACCTGGATTGGTTGAAAAAGAGAGGTAGAGCTGGGTGTCATCAGCATACTGATGACTCCGCAGCCCAAACCTCCTGATGACCTCTCCCAGCGGTTTCATGTAGATAGCAAGGGGGCCAAAATGGACCCCTGTGGTACTCCATGGCATAGCTGCCATGGCGCAGAGCCAAAGTCCCCCACCACCACCTTCTGGAATCGGCCGTCAAGGTAGGACCATAACCACTGCCAGGAAGTGCCTCCTACTCCCAGTCCCACCAGCCTATCCAGGAGGATACCATGGTCGATGGTATCGAAAGCTGCTGAGAGATCCAGGAGAACCAACAGGGAACCAATTTTGCTGCAGATACCAAATTAATTCTTAATTCTTTAATATTCCATTTCAATTTCTTTTCACAAAATATTAGCAACAATGCTATTTCAGGATCCACTTCCATTTTTAAGTTCATATTTTACTAATCTCCTTAAAATTCATTATCTAGTATTTCTTAGTATTTTCACATTGCCACCACATATGGAAATAGGTAACATATTTCATCCACATCTCCAACTTAAGTTAGAATATTCATTATCCATATAAAATAATTTAACTGGCATCATAGACCATTTCCATACTAATTTATAAAAGTTTTCCTTAATTCTAATTGACATGATTTTTAACATTCTGTTATCCCATATTTTTCCCCAATCATCCTTGTCTGTATCATTCCCTAAAGCCTTTTCTCATGAAATTTTAACAAGATCATATATATCCTCCTTGTATAATAAAATCTTATATACCTCCCTTATGGACCCCCTTGTTTGCATTTCACCTTGTGTCTCCCTATTTAGCACAATCTCCTCAAATTTAGTAAGGGCTCTACATTTAAAATTTGCTGCAACCATTCTCTAGTTCATTGTTCCAATTGCAAAACATTAAACCAAGTTAATTTTCCTTGTTCAAATAATGCCATTATCCTCTCCTTTTTATCCACTTTCTCCATCCAATCTTTCACCCTAAATATTTTTCTTTTAATACCTTTCTTAAACAATCTCTCAGATTTTCTGGAAATCCTCTCATCTCTGTAACTGGAATTACTGGTGAGGCAATTGGCATAAATTCTCCCTATACTTCTCCCAAATTCATACTTTTTACAGTCCTTTTATCATCTTGTTTAAAAAGAATGTTTAAAAAAGATCCCTCAATTTCCTCTTGTTCCAACTCTGCTCATATAATCTCATCTGGTTGCAAAATAATATTTAGGGGGGATTCTGACTTAATATTTGATATACATCTTAATTAAGTCACTTCATAATATAATTTAATATTCAGAATACTTAGTCCGCCCTATTTTTAAGATTTATACCATCTTTTCTTACTAATCCTTGCTTTCTGATCTCCACTACAGAATTTATTAATCATATTTTGTCAGTCTTTCAACTCTTTCCTTAATAGTCTAATTGGCAACAGCCCCCGCACCCCACCACCAAAAAGTGAACTTAGGTAAAATTTTCATTTTACAAACCACTATTTTCCCAAACTAACATAATACTATTTTACTAAATTGCTGCAGTTTCTTATTTATTTCAGATTTTAATATAACAAAACCAGCCTGATCCACCTTAATGTATTTATCAATAAAATTATTCATTCTTTTTGCAAGTATTGATGTAACAAAATTTAGCTTCTTTATTTATCAAATATATAGCTCTGCATGCTCCAGGATCTGCTAGATCTTTATTAGGTTTTGGCATCAAAGCTATTGAAGAATCTTTCCAAGTTGCCCAAATTTTTCCATCCTCCAAAATGCTATTAAAAAGAGATTTTAATTTTAGTATCAGCAACTTTCTAAATAACTTGTAAAACTCTGGTCCTAATCCATCTATGTCTGGAATTTTTCCTGTTTTTAAATTATTAATAACCTCTTCTATCTCTTCTTCTCTAACCACCTGTTCCATTAGATCTCTATCTTCCTTCTGCAATTTATTCCTGACATTCCTTTCTCTATATGATCTAATTTTATCTATTGGGACCTTCCCAGCTGAGTTTAACTTCGAATAAAATCTATGAAACATTCCTAACTTCTCTTTTGTCAAATTACAATGTTTACCCTTTTCATCTTTAACTATTCCTATTCAATTTTTACTTTTCTTTTGTTGTGTAGCTCTAGGCAACATTATTGAATTCTTATTACTAAATTCAAAAAAATCCCTTTTCAAATATATCTCTCTGTGTTCTTTCTAGTTCCCTCTTCCGCAGCTCTTTCCTTTGTTTTTCCACCAAAAATTTAATATCCCTCTCATTTATATACATCTTTTCCAAATCTCTTATTTCACCCTCTTTTTCATGTATTTAGCCCTTTGTCTTTTAAAATTACAAGCTTCCCTAACACTTACTCCCCTTGCAACAGCCTTCATTGTATCCTGTACTAGGTTTTATTCCCTCCCCTTTTTATCATTAAATTCTCATATTTCTTTCAATGTTTTATTTTATCTATTATATATGTTGTAAAATATTCCAACTTTTAACCTCTTCATAATTACATATGATTTTTAAATCCGTATTTATTACATGGTATACTATATATTTTATTCATAATGTTTAATGTGTTATTTATTAACATTTACCTTATCTGAAAAAAATCTATTAAAATTTTAAAAATACTGGAGTACATGTGCTGAGCAAAAATAATTTCTTACCCCATTCTGCTTTGAAATTGGCAAAGACCATCTTCAAATCAACCTCTTCTACACTGCCAGTTTCAAATAAATCTACTGAGCCATTTTTAGAATATAAGACATAGAACCTAATCCTCTTCCCTGCATTTCTAGTTATAATGGTAGGATGTGATTTCTATCAAATAACTTTTAGGATCTGATAATAAATCAACATTAAAGTTACACACACAAAACCAGCACCTAACTTTTTTCCCTAAACCCTTTAGTCGTTCAACATCTAATTTTTCTAAAAACTAAATTGTCTTATTTTATAAGTCTTATTAAATTGGTGCGGCACTAAAAACATGTAACTGTAGAATGTGTCTTCCTTACATTCAGTGACAAAGAAAAGGCTAAATAAAGCCTCTTTATTCAATTTATAATTTATTTATATTTATTTCATATTTTCAAAAATACTCTTTCTAATCATCGTCCATTAGCAGAGTGTCATACTCTGATTCCTTATTTATACACACATTTTTAATAATATCTGACAGTAAGTCATTAGGTTCCCACCCACAACCCAGATTCCTCACACATCACTACTCTGGAGTATTGTGAGTGCCTGACAATGTTATGTGAAATATGAAACAGATTTGTTCTCTCTATCACTCCAGAGCTCAGGACTAGAACCAGCAGGTGGAAATTGCAGGGAAGTAGACTTCAACCAAACCCAAGTTAGAAATAAGTCCCTTCTCTGACACAGAGAAAGGAGCCTTGTATCCAGAGGGAGGGGCCTGTCTCCACAATCCCAGACTAATTCTTAGAACTGTTGTAAATCACAGGTTGAATATTAATCAACGATGTGACATGGCTGCAGAAAAGCCCTAATGCTAAATTGGGCTGCATTATGAACTCACCCTGTTGTGCAGATATGAACTGGTGACCTTTCGATCAACCAGCCCAGCAGCACCACAGTTTAAGCCACTGCACCACCTGCATCCCTATAATAGAAGTACAGCTTCCAAATCATGTGAGGTTCTGGTTCTCCTCTATTCAGCACTAGTTAGGCCCCATCTTGAGTACCGCGTCCAGCTCTGAGCACCACACTTCAAGATAGATGCAGACAAACTAGACAAGGTTTAGGAGAGGGCATCGAAGAGTATCAGGAAACTGGAAACAACATTCTATAAGGAAACATGGAAAAAACAGGCATGTTTAGCCTTCAGAAGAGAAGATTGAGGGGAGAGATGATAGCACTTTCAAATATTTGAAAGGCTATCACACAAAGGAGGGCCAGTTTCTTTTCTCAGTCATCCCAGAGTGCAGGACATGGAACAATGGGCTCAAGCTAGAGGAAGCCAGATATTAAGAAACAAAAATTCCTGACTGTTAGAGCACTAGGGCAATGGAACCAGTGAACTAGTGAGGTTGTGGGCTCTCCCCACTGAAGGCATTCAAGAGGCAAGTGGACAGCAATCTGTCAGGGATACTTTCACTTGGGGTGCTGCATTGAGCAGGAAGTTGGACTCAATGGCCTTATAACACAGCCTGTTGAATAACTCTGAATTCAGACTCCACTCCACTAGTCCAGAATATGACAAATGATCCAGTCTACTTGTATGCTGAAGTTATCATGCCTTTCAGGTGTTCTACCCATACAAATGAACATAATTGTCTCACAGAAAGGGAAGTACAGCTTTCTTCAGCAAAGATCTTGAACAGGTCCAAGTTCAACACTCTAACAAGTATTACAAACTGGCTTTTGTACAGAGTAGACAGTGGAACCCTTAGGGACTCTCCAGTGCACCTAGCTACACTTAGACATTAAGGAATCCTCAGGGCAACACACCTGTCCTGGCCTGGCAGCAGCAAAGAACAAAAAGCATTTCGGGGTGGCACAAGTCATTGCCTTTTTTGAATCAGTTGCCTAAGAGAAGGCTGGCTTGACTGAAATAGATGATGATGACAACAGTGATGATGATCAAAGATCTGGACAGAATCCTAAACTCTACATATCCAAGGAAAGTAGCTCTGTAGGAATTGATTGGTATAGTAATTGATTGTTGTGTTTGTTAAAGTCATCAATATACTGGCCTATCTTGTGACAGAAGTTAAATTTGGGTTGCAATCCTTCGTTTATCTACCTGGGAGAAAACCGTTTTCAACAAAGTGGGGCTTGTTGCTAAGTTAAGAATATGCTATTGGAGAAACCATGTGAAGCACTAACATAGGCTGTAAGGACAAAGGGGCTTGGGCAGGACAGGATCAACACAGTCTGTAGAACCTCTAGTCTCTTTTCAGAACCAACTCCAGTTTGAGCTTATTACCATGCTAATATATGTGATTTTTTTAGATGGACAAGATTTCAGATGCATGTTTCTTCATGAAAAACTCATACTGTGAAAAAAATTAGGCAAATAAATCCATCTTTAATAGTAGTACCATTGAAGTCTATCCACCTACAACTCTTTTTACAAGAAAACATCTACTATCTTATTTAACTTATTTGTCTGCATTATTGTTGGTTAAGTCTTTGTTTTGAAATTACAGTGATATAATTGACACAAACCATGGACACAACAAGACAATACAGAGAACCATATATTATTAACTTCAGGTTCATGAATAAGACCGACACTACTTATTTAAAAGCTATTTAAATGGTAATTAAAATTTTATATCAAACATAGACACAAGCATAACATCTAGCCCATTTCACAGTTATAAACAAACCCAGGGTAACAGACAGATTAAAAGTGAAAGCTTAACAACAGCATTTAGAGTGGTATGACATGGCAGTAAGTACCTTTCCAACAGAGACAGATTTAGCGGGACTAAAGGCCTGCTCTGTGGGATCGAGCCCTTCAATTGTTTCCGTACAGTCTGAGAGGGGTGCATCCTGCAATAGTAAATTGAGTAAACAGAGCAAACCAAGCTCGGGCTTCAGATGATCAGCTAAGAGCATTATGACATTGGCTAAAAGACATGCAGAAAATAGTAAATGTTGATATAGAAGCAATGACAATGAAGCAACATGCACAGATAAACTAATTCCAATATTAGAGATGTTCTGGCCATGAAAATGATGACTAGCCCATCTTTGTAAAGTACAATAAAAAGTAATCTGAATACTATTTATCTCTTAAATTTACTTAGCCAAGTCATTACATTATATGTTTTATCAGAGAAGGCATATCTCTATAATATTTCAATAAGATATAATAATTTAATATTTTGAAACAAATGCTTAACAAAGATAACATTTGCAATACAAATTTTCACTGAGATAAATTATATTGTATCAATAATGTTGGTATTCAGCATGTTTTTTAACACAGTGACATAAAGCCCAAATAATTCAGAGTTGGGTTTTTAGTTCACATGTTTTTCTCATGCAACTGCAACCAACACAAGAGGCAGCATACTGCTACGAACATGCTTCCACTTTTGACCCTGAGCATGGTTGAGAAGATAGCAAAATGTTACCTCTAATACTTACCTTATAAACAGTTACTTTCTGCCAATTAAAGAATAATTTCATAGTGATACATTAGGTGACAGCAGGCAGACAATAAATTAACTCTTAAGATAGCATTTTAAAAGCAGAGTGTGCTCTCACCTGTACAAGGCTTCTGTCCACAACAACTCCAGAAAGAACCTGGGACTGTGGGCCAGCAGTTTTAATATCTTGTAGGTTTTGCTCCCGGATCTTTAAAAAAAAAAAATCAGATCCATATTAGTATCAGAACTAAATCTAATTTCTGTCTACAGCAAAGTATAAGCTGTTCTATATTAGCTTTAGTAAAGTTGACTTGGATATTAATTCCACTTTGATATATAAGGTAATGGTTCCTTCATGTTTCACTGCAGGTTGCTACTTTATATCTTAATAATCTTGAAAGACTACAAACAATGCTTTATCAGAAACTCCTAGGTGGTCCAGGATTCTATGCTAAATCCCATGTTGTGACGGTGAATGAGCAATTTTATTCCAGCAATAACCTTAGTGTGAATGTGCCATTTTTGTTTTGCAAAAAGGAGGAATAGGCTTCTAGAACAAAGCTGGAAAAAATTAATATTTTTATTAAAACCACGGCAGTAAGCAAATTGTAACATTCCAAGTTCTTAGAAACATGTGTAAATATACAAGTTTGGAGAAGCGCACACTACCTAAACAATATATCTGGCATACTTAGTAAACACCAGCAGGGCTGCATTATCCCACCTGATACTTGCCAGCCTCAGGGAAAAAAATAGTGGTGTTTGTTGGATTATAAACTGAAAAGTAAAATTCTCAATAGCAGAAATATCCATTCTAATTAAACTACTGCTTTTTTAATTTTTTTTATGGGGGGGCAGGGGAACCTTGGGGATTCTTATTTAGCCTTACTTTTCCATCTTGATTGCTAGGACTTAGCATTCCTCAATACAATACATATGCCCATTAGGAGAGATATGTAGCCTTTTAAAACTTGTGTTAATTATTGAGATCTTGTTGCAATATGTATGTTTTTTTCCTATTTCAAGCACTACAAAATCAGAGATGATGTACTGACTGCCAATACAAACCTTGTTTCTCATTTCTTGGACCTCCTTTGGGTTTGTGTTCAATGGAACAAACAGATTTTGGACAGCAGAGGAGACAGTTCTATGTCCATCCTCTTTAGTCCACTGTAATATGAAGAACAAATATATAAATCAAATTTGCTAAGATGACTAAAACTATCAGAGCAATAGATCATGCATATACATAACTGAGAATTGAATCAGTGATTACATTCACTAATTATGAAAGTCTAACCATTCCTTAGTTCTAAAATAGATTTTAAGATGTATTTTATATATTCCAAAGATATATGAAAATGAATCGAAGTACAGAACTAGAAAAGCAATTACTTTAAAATGCTTCAAGTTGTACAAGTTAATGTGGAAAACCTGAAGAATCTCAAGACTAAGTATACTACACAAAAAACTATTAGTATTATATACCCAAGACTGCAGTCCTGGACATACTTTCTTGGGAATAAGTCCTGTTGAACTAAGTTGGCCAATATATCTAGGATTGAACTGTAGTGGAAAAGGTTGCTGAAATATAAATCTAGCAACAATACCAAGTTTCTCAAATGTTTTTTAAATTTGCACATCATTGATTCACTTCCCTGATATTTAAACACACAAAAGCCAACAAAAAGCACAAGATGACAAGAATATGAAAAGCGGTGTGATGCCAATAACCAGGTTGAGTGAATGATTCTGTACTATGAGGAAAGAGTGGGCATCACCAAAGTTAGGATTTTAAACTCAGAATGTACTGTTTCAGAATTATTTTTGTACAGACAAAACATGAATAAACCTACAGGAGAAATTTGGTGATGTCAAAATATTTTATATAAAGCTTAGAGTTACCAAACTAGATGTTAAAAAATTAAAATCCCATATACAAGGCACTTCATGACATCTTTGCAAGAGGCTGTTTTATATGAACAGTGCATTTAGTTGAAAGATGGCTTTGCACAGATACAAGTTTTCTTCTTTCACAAAAGTTAACTGCTCAGCTTCCTTAAATACTACTTGTTATTGCACAGAAAATGCACTGAACATTGAAACAAACCTGTTTTACACAGATGCTGTTCCTTCCCCCAAATAATTTCAAGACAAAAGATAGCCAGAAGTAGGACTCTTGAAAAAGCAACACAATTTTAAAATGTTTTGCAAATATGAAGTAAAAAATGGGATGAACATGGAGCTATGGATACTCACTGATTCTTATTCACATAAAATAACTCCAGCTTTTTATTAAAGATATTTAACAACATTTAAAAAACCTTAGTATACTGAAACTTTAACAAAGCCTTATGAGCATTAAAAAATAAAATACACAAGCTGGGATCACTGCATAAGCATTACAAGTTGCCCTAGCAGACTAAGATGAATATTTTTTTCACTTTATACTGATCTCAGATATCTACTTCTTTGTATGTGTTCAAGCTAGCACAAATCCTTTGTAAACATTTTCAGGCACTATCACTCTCTAGAACAAAAGGAAGTGATATTTCAGAGTCTGACAGTATTAAGTATAGTATAACAAAAAGGGGAAAAATCACCACAGTCAAGGAATCTCTCCTGTTTTCTCCATGGATTTCTAGTTGATACTACATTGGCTAAGAGAAACTACATTTCCCATTAATCATTCTGAAAGGGAAAAATAGCAACCAAAATTTAGGGGAATATTTGACCACACTGAGAGAGAAAAATGTATGCAAAAGAAAACAGGAGCTAAATTGAATAACTTTTGAACAGTATAATTTTCCATGCTCAAAGTACAACCACTACCACTAGAATGGCTATGAAGGACTCCATTTTAGTTCCTATATTGTCAGCTCTATATTAATCAGCCATTACAAACCCTGCATCATGCAACAAAATTGGAATTTCAGGATTAGAATAGTATACACCATCACAATAAGCATTTCCAAACAGCTATCACTATCCACATGATAGCATTTGAAAACCTTTAGTCAAGACTTAAGTGCACATTTTGATTTAGTATAGTAAGTTTCCCAATAGTTACCCAAGCTGCACTTTAGTCATGCCACACCCAGCTGGTAGTAGAGGAAAGATTTTCAAATTATGGCCATCTACTTACATGCAACAATTCATGCAGAAGGCTGTGAACACTGGGAGGCTTTAGAGCAGACAGAAGCTTAGTGGGTAGATAGAGGTGCAAGAGTTCAATTTATTAGAAGATCATAAGAGGGGATAAAGTCTGTGGAATTAAATGCTAGCCCTTTTCAGCAATCGGCAAATTAGGTGAGGTAAGGTAAGGTAAGGACTTACCTAAAGGTAAGTCTACCTTACCTAAAGCAGACTCAGTGATTTGATTACATGTAGTAACTACACTTAATACCAAGAGTGCCAAATGAGAGCAGGCGCCCTTGACAGAAAGCTGACTACCTAATTTTTATACTGAGGAGGATTCTTATCTGGGATACTGATTCAGTGTAAGTTTTAACTAGGATAGGTTTCCAGAAAATATCACAATACTTTTCTGATATAGACCAAATTTAAGCAACTGGAATATATAAAACAAATAATATGACACCAAATTGTTAAATTTATTCCTAGTGTAGCAGACTAAAATTTAACTTTAAACATAACCCTAACATGTAAAATGTAACCACTCACATGATTAATGAGAGTCTAAGCTGTAGTTTTTCAAATGAATGCCTCAAGTGAAACACGATTAGATATTGCATAAGAAAGGAAAAGAGCTAAAATTATATTTTCTTCCCAAAGCCTCACAGTGCCTGCTGCCAAAAATTGCTCTACATCATCTAACTATGAACAGTAAGGTAGGCACAGACCAAGCAGTTGGTAATACAGCTTGGCACGCAGACACCGGACGAGAGAGACTGCAGCAAGGGTTTCACGTGATCGTGTGTAATGTTCGTCCACACCTTAGTCTTCGACTTGGGGCTGCCACCGTTCTGCCCTTCTTCAGAAGCATCATCCCCTCGGCCAGAATTCAGCCACCTTATCTTCTCTCGCTGCTGTTTCTGAAAACTATGCCGCAGAGGAGAACAAGTGCCCAAATCCCCATCACTAGCAAAAGAATACCCTGTGACACTGGCAGGAATCTCCACATCACTGTATTTTTTAGACTTCTCTCTCAGAGCAGGGCATCGATAGGGATAGCCAGTTCTGTAACCCTAAGGAGACACCACAGCAAAATATTTGGGTCATTTTGGATCTCAAAACCTACCATTATTGAAGAACTATTGGCACTTATTATGAAAATAGTTATATCATCCGTACTATTCTATCAATACCAAGTTCTGCCCTTAAATACCTGTGCTGTTTCAATGACTTACCTTCACACAAATACATAGAAAACTTATGAAACCTACCCTCAACAACATAAGAAAATGAGTATGTCAATCCAAACTGTCTTTGTAATGATCAGTATTCCATTTAAGAGTAAAAAGCATAAGCTAGTCTCAGTCCTATCCATTTCTACCAGTGTTGAGTGGGCATTTGGATTATATACTGACTATTCAGAAACTGGACTTAAATCCATAGTGACTAGGAACACCCAATGGGAAAAAACTGGATCTTCTGTCTTGAACTGTCAATGTGTCTCCTGAGAATGGGACAATGGGTACTTGAAAGACAACCTGTCTCCAGATGTTTCTATCCAAATCTTCAGAGGCCCTTCTGAAGTGTAACAGCTGATTATAACAGAAAGTGACTTCTTGCTGGAGGTGCTCCAATTATTATTGTTATGGCACGATCAGTGTACATTACAGAATGATATCTCCCAGTTGAGATGGCACAACAAGCAATAATGCAATGGAGAAACCTTGAGAATGTTCAGTTGTATCTTAATGTGGCTAACAACCACAGTAAGTCACAATGATTGTTCATTACAACTGGGCTCACATGACACAATATGCAATTGTTTTTTCATCACTGGGTACTTGTCTATTCAGTGTTTAACAGACCTTTGGCATGTTTAACAAGAAAAGTGCCAACTTTCCTCTCCAGCTGGGGAAGTAATTATCCACTCCACTTTCTACTCATTGTCTCTCCAGCACAATGATATGGAAGACCTCCAAGCTCCATGCAAGAAGACGAGACTTGTCTTTTTGGGGTTAGAGAACCAAGTCACCTGGAGTGCTTTGGCTGCCCACCACCAAATGCTTGGAACTAGAGAGAAGAGCAAAGAATTGACTTGGACCTCCTATGAAGGTACAGCATAAAATCAGGAATGAAGACATTCCTGTGCACATACTCATGGGAGTGAGTCAATTACCACTGTGCTCAAACATATACTAGAATGTGCTGAGCATGTAAGGCAGGATTCTGACAATCTCACATTTTGTCTTGACTTCCAAAGCCAATCAAACTTTGTTGACTCCTACACATCCCATTATCTTAAAAGTTAAATTCAGCTGGAATAGATGGAAATAAAATGCAATAAGATAATAGTCTAAATAGTAGAGCAGAATGTAATCTGTTAAAATAGATTTAATGTGGAAAGTACCAGCAGATATTATGCTTGAATTTTAAAAGGTTAATATATCAATATAGTTGATTGGCACTAGACTCTTGGCACCTTTAACAAAATACTTCTCGTTCCATGAAAAAGCTTTCCCCCCTTTCAGGCTGCTTTGTTCTGTGAATTAGTTTTTGCCTTAAACAGAAACAAAACCCTTGAAGATCATTAGCTATTGTTCAGCAATTGCTGCAAGAACATTCTGATGCCAAGAAGCAGTAGAATATTACCGTAGATTCTACCTTACCAAATTATCAAGCATTCTCATAAGAGCTTCAAATTCCTGTTCTCCAGTTTGCCATTTTGGATAAGATGCTGTTCCCTCTGTAGCAGGAGGCTCGTGACAACGAGATTTTGCTTTATATTTTCCAGGGTCCAAAAGCACTAAATTGTCTGGTCCTCCTGCACTGGCCAAAGTACGTACCTTAAAATAATCAAAACAGACCATCCTTCTGTAAGAATGAACACATCAGACACACTGAAATCTCTAATCAGTAATTATGCCAAACATGTTATTACAACTTCTCTAATCAACGTTTTGCTTTTAGCTAAAACTATTAACCCAGGGATCCTCAAACTTTTCTACCAGGGGGCCAGGTGAAAGGTGCCAGTGCTGGGTGTGGGCCGGAAAGGGGCGTGTGGGTTGGGGCATGGGTGTTGAGGTGGGGGGGGGCGCGGCGAAGGGAGATGAGGCAAGGCAGGGGCGGGCACATGCCGTGATGCATCGGTGGGCGCGCGATGTAGCAGCTTGCTTACTTGATCATTTTCTCCTAGCGAGTCCAAAACAATCTCCTCGTGAGCAAGCAGCCGCTTCCTGTGCGGGGGGGGGGGGGGGCGAGGCAGGCAGCAGCGGGCGTGCATGGTATGTAGGCGCATGTGCAATGCATTGAAAATCTCTGAGGCGGAGCAGATAAATGGCCATGGCTGGCCGGATCCAGCCCCTGGACCATAGTTTGAGGACCCATGTATTAACCTAACAAGTTTATACAACATTAGTATTTTCTTACAGTGATAAACAAAAATTCCAGCTCATTTTTATTACACTGGGAGAGTAATAAAACCTTAATTCCCATAGAAGCATGAAACCTCATAGGAATTTCACTCAGGCGTGGTGGGTAAAATTCCCCTGTGCTTGACAGACAGTAAGGCACAGAGTGGAGGCTTTTGTTCCTACTCCTCCCTCAGTTCTCCTGCAGTACAGGAGACAATGTTGCAACATAGAGGAGAGCAAGATGACAGTGGCCAAAATGTGGCAATTTAGGCAGCTGTCACCCACTTCCCACCCAGCTTTCCTGCTGATGGCAGAAGAGCAGGATTACCTGTGAGCAATCTTGCTCTATCAGAATCAATAGCAGTGGTACTGCTAGGGAAACCTGGACTGGAGGGGTTGAGAAGAGAAGGGTTGGCTCATGCTGGGCTCCGAAACCTAATGCAAGGTGACTCACTGCTCAGCTGTGGCATGCTGCAGCTAAGTGCAAACTGGTGTCACTCCTTGAGGAAAACGTGAAGGGTCTAGAGGATGCCACCATCTCCCTGCAGGAGATAATGGAGGGGGAGCAGTTCCTGGACATTGCCCAGGAAGTCCGCCAAGCCAACAAGGAACAGCCCCCTTCCAGACAGCAAGAAGATGGAGGGGCCACTGGGGAATCAGCTGGGGAGACATGGAGGAATGTCACCTGCAGGAGGTGGAGGCTGGCATCACCCACTTGATTGCCTGCCGCTAATCTGAGGCTGAGAATCCAAGTTTTTCTGCTTGACCGGATTAAGGCCATGGGTCCAGCCTGCTCAGAAGCCTGACCCAGGGTCAGATGTGGACAGTGTGCTGCTGCTGGAGAGGCAACTGCTGAGACACAGTTCCCTATCTCCACTGGGCAAAGGAGAAGATGGGTTATTGTCCTCAAGGACTCCTTACTAAGGGGTACTGAGGAGGCAGTGTGCCAGCCAGATCCTGAGGCAAGAGAAATCTGCTGTTTGCCGGGTGCATGCATCAGGAATGTGATGGACAGGCTGGTGTGTCTTCTTCCCCTAGCAGGTCATAAGCTGCTTCTGGTGATTCAAGTGGTGATGAATTACACAGCAAGACAGGGACTGGGTGGGATCACTCAGAACTTTGAGGCTTTGAGCTTGAGGCTGTCTTGGGAATAGGCAGGTATGATCTGGTAGGGATCACTGAAACACGGTGGGATGACAAGCAGGATTGGAATGTCAACATAGAGGGGTATGCTCTGTTTAAGGAGGACAGGAAGGGAAAGAGGGGAGGGAGTGTAGCACTATACATCAAGGATGCAAAGAGATAGTGGGTGGGGTAGAAGGGGACTAGGTAGAGGCGATCTGAGTAAGTTTGAAGGGTCTACATGGGGGCAGGGACTTGATAGTGGGGACAAGTTATTGCCACTGGGTCAACTTGAGACCCTGGACAATGCTCTGATAGATCAGATTGGAAGGATATCCCAGGGGAGTGACATGGTTTGGGAGACTTCAACATCCCTTATATTAGTTGGGAGACACACTTGGTGGTAGCAGCTAGGTCTCATCACTTCTTAGAAGCTATGGAGGGAGGGTTTTTCACCCAGAGGGTTTTGGAGGCAACAAGGTGGGGGGGAATCCTGGACCTGGTTTTGACCAATAGGGAGGACTCACAGGTGTGAGTGACCACTCCATTCTATGCTTTGAAATCAAGGGAACAAGGATGAGCAGTAGGTCAAATACTAGGAGAGGGAACTTCATGAAGGCCCACTTTGGTCAATTAAGGGCCAGGCCAGGAGAAGTCTCCTGGGAGAGGGTACTGGAAGACATGGAAGATCAGGAGGAGTGGATGGCACGAAAGTCTTGGAGGCTCAAGCCTTAACAATACCACTGATTAGCAAAGCAGGGAGGTGAAGGAGGGCACCACCAAGGATGAGAAGATAGATGGCAAGAGGTATTAGAAGAAAAAAGGACCCCCACAGGAAATGGACAGTGGGGCAAGTGGACAAAAGGATTTATCAGGAAGAGGCTTCTTGATGCAGAAGGATTCTTTGCAAGGCTAAAGCTGATTATGAGCTGACAATTGTGATGAATGTCAAGAACAAGAAAAAGTGGCTTCTATTCCTAGCTAAATAGTAAGAGGAAGGGGAGACAGGTGTTGGGGCTGCTTAAAAGTGAGGGAGTGGACCTGGTAACTGATGTAAGGGAACAGGCACAGATGTTAATTATAGTTTGCTACTGTATTCTCTCCAATGCAGGTTGCTGGAGATCTACCTGGGACAGCCAAATGAGGTTGGGGTTATGGGGGCACAGAGTGGAACCACTCTCCTAGAAGTTGAGGAGCCCCTCAGGCCACTGGACAATACAAAACTGTCCAGTCCTGCTGGGTTACACTAAGGGTACTTCAGGAATTGACAGGGGTACTTTTGCTTCTGCTGGCCTTCATTTTTAAGCCTCATGGAAACTAGGTGAAGTTCCAGAGGATTGGAGGGTAGTCAGTGGTCACAATCTTCAAAAATGGTAGCAGAGAAGGGAAACTACAGGCCAATTAGCCTAATGCCCATTCTGGGAAAGACAATGGAAGAGCTCATAATAAGGAAAGCTCTAAAAACCCTAAACAGGGAAGGGGGTTGGCAGCCACACAACGTGGATTCTGCAAAATCAGGTCCTACCAGATGAACTTTGTGGAATTTTATGACAAGGTTTTGATGTGGCTTGATGAAGGGGATGCAGTGAATGTAGTTTACCTGGATTTCAGCAGGGTCTTTGACAAGGTGTTGCATTATATTCTGTTTGCAGAATTGATGGATGCACTGTCTAGTGGATTAGGGCATGGCTGATGGACCACAAGCAGAGGATGACTATCCATGGAAAATCATTGGGATGGCAGCTAGTGACATGCAGAGTCCCCCAAGGCTCAGTTCTGGGCCCAATTCTGTTCACCCTCTTTGTCAATGACCTGGAGGACGGTAACCAGTCTGCCAAACAAATCTGCAGACAATACCAAAGTGGGGTGTGGTGGTCACAACTGGGGAGCAGGTATTCCAGATCCACAAGAATCTGGACAAACTGTGGAAGTTAGTGGGGGACAACAGGATGGCATTCAATGAGTCAATGTGGATAAGTGCAAGGTCTTGCACTGGGGACACAGGAATAGGTGCCATGGTTACTGGATGGGGGACAAATGGCTGGAGAGTAGCACTTATGAAAGGGATATCAGGATACTTCTTGATAGCAGGTTAAACATGAGCCAGCAATGTATACTGATACATAGGCATATGAAGGGGTGTCACATGGTAGAGGGTCATGACCTGTTCTCCCCTGTAGTGGAGGAAAGGATGCAGTCAAATGGTGCTCAAATAACCGGGTTTCAAGTTGGATGTCAGGAAGTACTTCCTGATGGTTAGAACCTCTAGGATATGGAAAGGGCTTCCATGGCAGGTGGTGGGGCCCCATCAGTGAGGGTGTTCAAGGAAAGATTGGATGACTTTCCCCCTACATGTTGGGGATTACAGGAGCCAGGGGTCAGACTAGAAAGCCCAAGAGGCCCCTTGTGACTTGCTGTTTCTATGACCCTTCCTGCTGCCTGCTGCCTACACCTTATGGTGTAGGTAGTGGGAAACGATGAGGGGATAAGAACTGGGGGTACCCAGCTGCTGTGATTGCCTTGCAGAGAGTAAGGCAAGCAGAGTGTCTCATTACTGCTGCAGTAGTGATGGGCGGGATCTATCCCATACCCTTTCCCACATCCTGGCATCACAACCACCTGTCCTGTGTGCTTCCTTTCTAGGAAAGGAGGAAGTACACAGGGCAGTGAACAGCAAGATATGGCTTCTGCCCCATTTCCACTCTTCCCTGCTGGGGGAGAAGGAAGGATTGAAGAAGACAATCAGAATGGCTCCTTTGCATCCAAGATCACCAACCCAGCACTGGACAGCTTGTTCTCCCACTGTGAAACAACTCCCCAGCCTCCAAATGTGGCCTAGGGAGGCTGTATGCTGTGGAACATAGAAGCTTCTCCAGGTTCCTGACAATATGGGTGCCATCAAGTCATCTCTGACAGCATCTGGGGTAGCTCTAGGAATGAAACCTTCCAAAATATTTTATCCATGACAGCCATGTTCAGCTCTTGAAAATTCAAGGCTATGGCTTCCTTTAGGCAGTTAATCTATCTCCTGTCTGGTGTTTCTTTTTCTGTTTCCATCTTCAACTTTGATAATAGTATTCTCCAGGGAGTTTTGCCTGCTCATGCTGTCCTCAAGGTAGCACTGCTCAAGGGCAATCCCACTTCTCCTTGCACATTGCCAGGTTCTTCACCAGAGTGACAATGCCAAAGTCCTTTTTGCCAAAGGACTCTTACATTTTGAGTTGAACATGGCTTACATGTTATCTGGGTTCAGACAACACATTAACCTGTGGGTATGGACAACATGGTAGCCCCTAGAACAAGCCATGAGCAACTCAGTGGTTTAATAAGCCACCTGAACAACTTAGAAACCACCTCTCAAGAAGTGTGCTTTCCATACTTGGAACGTGAGGGCAATCCACAACCACACGATCACACTGCAAAAACTCTGAGGATACTGTTGCAAAGGGTGTTTTCCATAGGCACCAGATCATTTTAAAAAATAGCAGGGGGCTACAAAGTTACAATTTGCCCATGCAAAAAGGTACAACTTTGTAGCCCACTGTTAACTATTGTTCTGATTTTTTGTTGACAGGTGGAGTACGTGGAAAACACCCTTTGCCACAAAATACTGGGGGGGGGGTAAGGAGGGGGAAGAAATGGTCATTTTCCCCAGAGCTACTTTAACTTTCCAAGTACGGATAACAGATGTACTTGTTTTAAAAATTAAGCTGCAGCCAGTGCTAAAGGGGATACTATTATTTATTTATTTAAAATATTTTTTATGCCGCTCCCATCACAACAAAGCCTCGGGGCGGCTCACAACTATGACATTCCAGTCAGTTGTAGATGTATCTGGTGGTGAAAGGAGAGTCCGATGCTGCAAAGATCTATACTCTATAGGAACCTGGAATGTAAGATCCATGAATCAAGGCAAGCTGGAAGTGGTCAAACAAGAGATGACAGGACTGAACATCGACATCTTAGGAATCAGTGAACTAAAATGGACAGGAATGGGTGAATTTAATTCAGATGACCATCAAGTATACTACTGTGGGCAAGAATCCCTCAGAAGAAATAGAATAGCCTTCATAGTCAATAAAAGGAGTAGGAAAAGCAGTACTGGGATACAATCTCCAAAATGACAGAATGATCTCAGTTCGAATCCAAGGCAAACCATTCAACATCACAGTAGTCCAAGTCTATGCCCCAACTGGTGCTGAAGAGGCTGAAGTTGACCAGTTCTATGAAGGCCTACAACACCTTCTAGAATTAACTCCAAAAAATGATGTCCTTATCATCATGGGGGATTGGAATGCTAAAGTAGGAAGCCAAAAGACAACCGGAATAACAGGCAATTTTGGCCTTGGAGTACAAAATGAAGCAGGGCAAAGGCTGACAGAATTCTGTCAAGAGAACACGCTGGTCATAGCAAACACTCTTTTCGAACAACCCAAGAGACAACTCTACACATGGACATCACCAGACGGTCAACACAGAAATCAGATTGACTATGTGCTCTACAGCCAAAGATGGAGAAGCTCTATGCAGTCAGTAAAAACTAGACCAGGAACTGACTGTGGCTCAGATCATGAGCTTCTTGTTGTAAAATTTAGGCTTAAATTGAAGAAGTAGGGAAAAGCACTGGGCCATGATGGGGTGGTCACTGACCTTGAGCCAAACATCCTGGAATGTGAAGTCAAATGGGCCTTAGGAAGTCTGAGCAACAACGAAGCTAGTGGAGGTGACAGTATTCCAGCTGAGCTATTCATAATCCTAAAAGCCGATGCAGTAAAAGTGCTACATTAAATATGCCAGCAAATTTGGAAAACTCAACAGCGGCCACAGGATTGGAAAAGGTCAGTTTACATTCCAATCCCAAAGAAGGGCAATGCCAAAGAATGTTCAAACTACTGCACCATTGCACTCATTTCACATGCTAGCAAAGTTATGCTCAGAATCCTACAAGCTAGGCTTCAGCAGTATGTGGACCGAGAACTACCAGAAGTACAGGCAGGGTTTCGAAGAGGGAGTGGAACTAGAGATCAAATTGCCAACATATGTTGGATCATGGAGAAAGCTAGGGAGTTCTAGAAAAACATCTACTTCTGCTTCATTGACTATGCTAAAGCCTTTGATTGTGTGGATCACAACAAATTGGGGGAAGTTCTTAAAGAGATGGGAGTACCAGACCATCCCATTCCTCTCTTGAGAAACCTATATGCGGGTCAAGAAGCAACAGTCAGAACTGGACATGGAACCACTGATTGGTTCAAAATTGAGAAAGGAGTTCGACAAGGCTGTATACTGTCGCCCTGTCTATTTAACTTATATGCAGAGCACATCATGCAAAAGGCCAGTCTAGATGAATCACATGTTGGAATTAAGATTGCTGGGAGAAATATCAACAGCCTCAGATATGCAGATGATACTACTCTAAAGGCAGAAATTGAAGAGGAACTAAAGAGCCTCTTGATGCAGGTGAAGGAGGAGAGCACAAAAGTTGGCTTGAAACTCAACATTAAGAAAACTAAGATCATGGCATCCGGTCCTATCACTTCCTGGCAAACAGATGGGGAAGAAATGGAGGTAGTGACAGATTTTATTTTCCTGGGCTCCAAGATCACCGCAGACAGGGACTTCAACCAAGAAATTAAAAGACACTTGCTCTTTGGGAGGAAAGCTATGGCAAATATAGACAGCATACTAAAAAGCAGACATCACCCTGCCAACAAAAGTGCACATAGTCAAAGCCATGGTTTTCCCAGTTGCAATGTATGGTTGTGAAAGCTGGACCATAAGGAAGGCAAAGCGCAAAAGGATTGAGGCCTTTGAATTGTGGTGCTGCAGGAGACTCCTGTGAGTCCCTTGGACTGCAAGGCGATCAAACTGGTCAGTCCTAGAGAAGATCAACCCTGACTGCTCTTTAGAAGGCCAGATCCTGAAGATGAAACTCAAATACTTTGGCCACCTAATGAGAAGGAAGGACTCCCTGGAGAAGAGCCTAATGCAGGGAACAATAGATGGCAAAAGAAGAAGGGGACAGCAGAGAATGAGGTGGCTAGATGGAGTCACTGAAGCAGTTGGTGTGAGCTTGAGTGGACTCCGGGGGATGGTGGAGGACAGGAAGGCCTGGAGGAATGTTGTCCATGGGGTCGTGATGGGTCGGACACGACTTTGTGACTAACAAGAACAACAATGATATTCCTGCAGGGTCCTTTAGTATACTGAAAAGAGGACTGAGGGGAAGGGAGGAGGGGAAGGAGGAATAAAATCTACTATCCATGCTTTGCATGAACATTTGTTAGTCACACAGGAATTTAAACCACAGTGCATGGTTAAAATTCCCAGTGTAATGTGCTGTGTGAACCCACCCACTTTGGTTTGTAAGTACTTGTTCCTTAAACTACTCTGAAAACAGTCTGGGGCAGGGGTCGACAACCCAAGGCTCCGGAGCCGCACGTGGCTCTTGAATCCCTCTGCTGCGGCTCCGTTGCTCACAGCCCCTAATCTGCTACACGTGTCAGCACAGTCCCCGATCTGCGACCCGCGCTGGCAAAGCACAGCCCCTGATCTGTTTCATAAATGCAACATACTATAGTTTTTTATACATAGCATAATGGTAAAAAACAATATATGCAGTGTTATTTTCATTTTAGAGGTCAAGAGTTTTGCAGCTCCCGGTGTTTACTTTTGTGTGGGAAACGGGTCCAAATGGCTCTTTGAGTGTGAAAGGTTGCCAACCCCTGGTCTGGGGGTTGTGGGTTAAACATGATAACAATCTACACTCACTGGATTCACACAGCATGATAATCTACTAGAGTGCCCACACATCTGTTAATTATGCCACTATGATCATACAACTTTAGACCCTGTCTTTGGCTACTAACACTATCAGGCTATATTATGTTTTTAAATACATTAATTGTATGCTTACTTGGATTTCACAAGCAACAACCAAATTATGAATATAGTAGAATGCCTCTTCAACACTTTCACCAACAGATACCAAACCATGATTTCTGAGTATGAGAACCTTAAGAAAGGAAAACAGAAGAAATGTTGTCAGTAAGAGGAAACCAAACTTACTTATTTCTTTTGCACATTGGATTGTTTAGCCACTAACCTTGCTTTTGGGTCCCAGATTCTTCTGAATCAACACCTTTTCTTCATCATCCACAAGTATCCCATGGTAATCATGATATGCTATTTCTCCAAGGGATAATGCTTCAGGTGAGATTGGTAAGAGACCATGTTTCATTGCAGATACCTGAAAATATGATTAGATTTCATACTGGGGAAAATAAAATTCACTAACCAGTAAATTCCTGATCCCTCTTTTATAAAATTATACATGGCTTTCCAGGGAACTCTCAAAATGGTTACCAGCAAAAATTCAAGCATAATATATATAGTGCCTTGCAGAAGTATTCCGCTTTTTGACTTTCCCACATTTTGCTGTGTTACAGCCCAGAACTGAAATGGGTTGAACTGGCATTGTTACTACATGATGTACACAAGATACTCAATACATGAAAGTACAAAATAGTGTTATTGTGGCACAAAAATAAACTAACACTTAACTGGCAGCCTGCAAGTCAATCTTTGGTAGAAGCACCTTTGGCAACAATTACAGCTGCAAGTTTTCATGGTATCAGTTTTGCATATCTGAGAATATCCAGGTCTCTTGCTCTCCCTCCTGCCCTCCTTGCCACTCCTACCTTGTCCTTGGCATTCCTGAGCGCTATCAACAAGCCCCACTGTCCCCTCACCAGCACAACTCCATGACACTCATTCCTTTTGGCCAACTTAGAACACTTTTATCAGGCAGATACCCACACATGGTCCCATAAGAAACTCCGGCAGGATACCTGCCGATGCCCTGTGTGTGCCTGGGTGCAAGAGGGATAACCCAAGAGTGTGTTTGAGTTCTGTGCATGGGGACATAAACATGTGCAGCAAGGAAGGGGGAGAGGTGGGGATGTGAGTGCCATTGCCTGCACATTGGCTGGGCAGATGCAGGGAGTGTTCCTATACTGCTCCTGTAGAGCAACAGTACTCTACTCAGTAGGCAGTTGCTTCCCTGAGCAGCAGGAAAAAAACAAAAATACCAGCTGTGGCCATACTCAGGAGAGCATGTGGGCCAATGAGGGAGAGGCAGGCAAGACAAGCAGGAACAGTGTACCCTGGGATTATTTTCCCACTGTAGAGGCTGATGAGTTGCCATTTGGAGGGAAGATTGTAACTATACATGCACAGAAACCACGCAAATGTGTGAACCCAGGACACAAGGTAAGATACCATACTACATGGCTACAATGCAGCATTGTTTAGTGTCCTGTGAGCAAAGAACCCAAAATCAGATTGGACAAAACCTGACCTATGAATGCAAAAAACAAAACTGAACATAAATCTCCAAAAGAATGCATTAGAAATGGAGTAAGCTTATACTTAAAAAGAAGACAGTTGTAAGCTTCCCTTTTCCTGAAAATAGGATAGCATCATAAACCATTCCTGAAAGGAATAAAATAGCCATCAGAGGTGTATGTGGAGAAACTCTGCTTCCTTCAGTTGTTTAATTCCATGTACAAAGACTTTGTTTATTATACTAAGCAATAATACATTCACAGGAAGCCAGTTTCTTTTCTTCCTTTTCAGAAATTCATTAGTAAATAAAGAATTTCTGTTTTATTATTTGAATGATGGAGGACGATGAGTGTTTGGGTCTCAGGAACCAATGCATTCCAACGGACCCTAACTTGAAGAACCTCTAAGGCAGATTGCTGTAGGAACATGAAATTCTATACAGGACAGGCTCCTTTGAATGATGTGACACTATTTATCTTATAGTGATTAGTGATGGTAAACAAAGTGGATGTCCCCCTATCTCCTCCAAAGGAGCCCTTTCCCAGAAACCTGCTGTGGAAGGGAACTCCACAGTAACCTCCCGCTTGGACTATTGCAATGCACTCTATGTGGGGCTGCCCTTGAGGATGATCCGGATACTTCTATTGGTCCAGAATGGAGCTGCCAGGTTATTAACAGGGACTGGTAGATACTCCCATATCACGCTGGTCCCATTATCATTTACACTGGATGCCAAATGAAGTCCAGGCCCCATTTAAAGTGCTGGTAATGACCTATAAGCCCCTAAATGGCTTGGGTCTTGGATACCCAAAGGAGCACCTTCTTCTCTATGTGCTGGCCCGTCCCTTGAGATCTGAGGCAGAGGTCCTTCTCTGGGAGCCCTCTTTGAAGGAAATTAGGAGGGTAGCTACTCGGAGAAGGGACTTTTCTGTGGTGGCGGCCCGACTGTGGAACATGCTCCCCAGGGAGGTTTGCCTGGCACCATCACTTTATTCTTTTCAGTGTCAGGCAAACATCTTTTTATTTTCCCAATATTTTAACAGTTAAATGGTTTTATCCTTGTTTTTATCATTATTTATCAGATGCAGTGTGTTGTTGTTGTTATGGCTTGCTTTTTTTGTTTTTTGAAGCCACCCAGAGACTTTTAGAATTGAGACAGCATATAAAAACTTTAAATAAATAAAAATAAAACTCTTAAGTGTGCCACAATACCGTCAGATAACTTAATAAAAGAATTAAGTTACTTTTCTTATCTATTATCCATTCACTGTATCTTTCCTGTATGTCATAGGTGACATGGGATTCAAAAGCCAGGGAAGTGAAATTCTGACAAGAGAGTCATTGCAACTGTTGCTTAGAGAAAAAAAAAAAAAAATAGGGAGACTTGCTGTTAAAAGGAAGCTGTATAGAAAAAAAGAATGGAAGGAAGAGGCTGATTTCATGAAGAGGATGTGTGTGTTAGAAACTGGCCAAGACAATGAGCTGACTTCAGCAGAGCAGAATGCCTGCTATACTAAAGAGATTTGAAGAATGAAGAGCTGGGCTAGAAAAAGCAAAGAGTGCAAATCCTTGCATAGCAATGGGACTTCAGAAACTAGAAGAAAAGATGAAAGGCTGATTCAAATGCAAAGTGAAGGAGGGAGGGGAAATTTGTTATTAACTGTTTATCATTTGAAATTGAAAGAAACTTTGTCAATATACCTAGATGTCAATCTGAATCCTTTGATTTCCTGCTCAGCTATTTAGCAAAACAAATCTGTGGCCCCAGCTGCCACATGTACCCCATTCATCAATCAAAATTATTCATTCCACTTTCTCTTTCACGGTCATACACTCTTCTCTCTGTATGTGCGTCCAGCTGGTGAAAGGTCTGGGGAATTAGACTACAACACAGGTACTTGCTGACTGTTCTGCTGCACATCAGATAAGTAGAATTACTTCAGGTAGAGGCATGGTCAAAGCACTTTAAGGACATGAGAAGTCAAAGAAGCCAAGGTACTGGGAGACTTCTAAATCATGTTACCAGGTTTTGAAGGCCACCTTGGTCACCAGTAGCTCCTTCTCCTAAATAATGTGTTCTGATATTTCAAGTTTTCAAAAGAAACATGCACACAGACAGGGAGGTTCTTCTTGTGTTTATATTGTAGTAAGCTGGCACCCTAGAGTCACCACAGAAGATTTTGGTCAACAGAATGTCCTTGGGGTTTGCTGGGATAGGTACCACAGTGGTTAATCCAACATCTGAACAGCCCAAAAACCACAAGCAGAAGTCTCATCTTTGCTTACTGGTGAATGTACATCTTCTAGAAGGCTAGTAGGTATAGTTAGTTTGAGTGTATCAACTTGACTGACACTTTGTGGAATGATCTGGCATCCCTGTGGCTACCAGAGCATCTCCTGTACTTATAGAAGCCATTGATGGATGTCCACTGCCATTCAGCTCTAAAGAAACTGAGAATTTGAATGATGAGCCAGTGTGGTGCAGTGATTAAGAGCATGGGACTGGGACTCAGACGATCTGGGTTCTAGTCCCCGCTCAGCCATAGAGCCAACTGGGTGATTTTGGGCCAGTCACAGACTCTCAGCCCAACCTACCTCACAGGGTTGTTGTTGTGGGGATAAGATGGAGGAGGAGAATGATGTAAGCTGCCTTGAGCCCTTTGTAGGAGAAAGGCAGGATATAAATCAGAAAATAAATAAATAAAATTTATGAAGTATAATCTAGAACCATAAAGAGTGGTTGTCCTCTGATGTGGTAACAGCACTATGCTTTCTCATTTTGTTTGATATTACTTAGCTTAATTGGTATGACATTATCACCTATTGGAATGATAGTTGCTTTGACAGTAATATGATTCAGTCAGTTGCTATGGTCTCTCCTGAGCTGGAATTACAACTCCACGGCAAGCATTAAACTTGGTTTAATCCAACAGCCTACCTCCCACCCCATTCCCACCCTAGAACTATGCCTGTGCCATTGACCCCATTTCAGGAACTCACATGTCTGTGCACTAGCTCTGCCTTTGTTAGAAACTGAATTTTTGACCGTAAGTGATTTTGGGGGGGGGGGGGGGGGCGGCTAAAAACATAAAACATCAGTTCATTCAGTCCTCAACTGCTTCTGCTGAACACCTTTTTTCCATTAAGGAGAAACACAAAGAATTATATGTACGCTTCCAGTTCCCTCAATAATATCTCTGCAGAAAACCAATACTCACTTGCTCTGATTCTATGTGCTAGCAGCCTGCAGTGGTCCCCCTACTCTGTACACAATGATGAACTAAAGCAACTAAATCTAGAGGTCATTGGTAGACAAACATAAAATCAATAGTAGAGGAAGGACCAGAGATCTCTTCAAGAAAATTGGAGATATGAAGGGAAGGTTTCATGCAAAGATGGGCATGATAAAGGACCAAAATGGCAGGGACCTAACAGAGGCAGAAGGGATTAAGAAGAGGTGGCAAGTTTACACATAAGAACTATACAAGAAAGAGCTTAATGTCCCTGATAACCATGATGGGGTGGTCACTAACCTCAAGCCGGACATCCTGGAATGCGAAGTCAAAAGGGCCTTAGGAAGTCTGAGCAAAAACAAAACTAGTGGAGGCAACAGTATTCCAGCTGAGCTATTCAAAATCCTAAAAGACGATGCAGTAAAAGTGCTACACTCAATATGACAGCAAATTTGGAAAACTCAACAGTGGCCACAGGATTGGAAAAAGTCAGTTTACATTCTGATTCCAAAGAAGGGAAATGCCAAAGAATGTTCAAACTACTGCACCACTGCACTCATTTCATATGCTAGCAAAGTGATGCTCAAAATCCTACAAGCTAGGCTCCAGCAGTGTGTGGACCGAGAACTACCAGAAGTATAGGCAGGATTTCGAAGAGGGAGAGGAACTA